ACGAGTCATCAAGCAGGAGTTGCGCCTTCGTCCACACAAAAGGACAACTTTAGCACCATGGGCATGTCGCGAGCAGACAAACCACCAACACATCTACTCAGGCCGATTGCTAAGCTGCAGCAAGTCTATATCCCCAAAGGCACCCGTCTCCAACATTAAGTGCTGCCGCATGGTAGCGGAAACTGCTTTGATCGGAACACAAGTTCAACTTGACAATGCGTGGTGTCTTGTAGTCATTGAAGAACCACTTCAAATGCCGTCGCATAGGAGATCTGCACCTGGTACCCTGTATATGCCCAGACGGTAAGGAGGGCAGAAAAGCAGCCTAGCACCATGTGATGGATCACACCCTGCACACTTCGGACACCATCTTGGTTTGAAACAGCCTGTCATCGTCACAGCACGGACTCATGCTGCTGGTGCGTGGTTGCAAATGTGATTTAATGGGTTCAAGTGACAACAGGGTCTGAGTAGAAGGTTTTGTGAGTAGGTGTCTGGGAGGTGTAGGATAGTGTGACAGCATGCCAAGCACATTCTCCTCCATGTGATATCAAGCGCGTGCGACCGCACACACCCCAGCACTGCACGTACTACGGCGTCGCACAGTTAGTCCGACGGCAGCTCACATGCAGTCGCATCAGCCTCTTCCAAATGATGCTCATGGCGCGACGTGCCTGAAACTGTGCGTGACTAGTCCTGCACCAAAACTCGTCCAATCTGGGGCTGTTGCCATTCGCAAAGTAGTCACGAAACAGCCAAAGTAATCACATGTCAGCTCTAATTATTACCTCCACGTAAACAAATGTTATCACGTAACAATTCAACTAGGAAAACGAACAAAGGCAACTCTACTGGAAAATAAAGAGGTGGCTGTAGACACCTCGGCAACATCCCATGTCTCATTGTCCTCGCTGAACCGGTTTAAAGGACCTCGCAGCAAAGATCTGTCCCTGGTATTGCGATTGTATGCAAACAGAGGAGAGTGAGAAGGTGTAGCGAAATGGTAAGGCTCAGTGCGGGTAGACGATTTGTAATTGCTACCACCACCGCCGGGGAGTAAGAGTTGAAAGGTGGTTTACACTTGAGGCGGTCGTCGTGTTGCCTCGGCTAGCCACACCCCTACCAACACCAACACAGCTCGCGTAGCCCTCATGCGACTGCTGCTGTTGCCGCTGCTGCTGCGACTGCAAGTAGTCGTTGTAGTTCACTTCACCTACAAATCAACATTGTAAGAGCAGCATCATGTCACAATCCAACCACTCGACCTAGTGTTCCGGCGTCAATGACTGAAGCTGCGACACCTGCAGCGTCAGCCACGGTGACGATGATCGTGAAGAAGATTGGGCCAAATATTTGTGTCTCCTCTAGTGCGCGTATGTCTACATTTCAGCAAATTGTCGCCATCCACCACAATACACATGAATCCTGACTTGTCATGAGTAGTGCACTGCAATTGTGCTCAATCCGTGCACTTTCTCACCGCTTCAAACTGTGTATTCTTCTTCATATTCTTCATCTTCGTAGTTGTCATGTACATCCAACCTCTCCCACATCTACCTTACACGAGTTCAATTGGAAAACGGGTCTTTGGATATTTATTGGTGTAGGGAGTGTGTGAGGGAATATCGGATCACAACGACCCCTCAAGTGGAAACAGCCCTCTGCCACAGCCTCATTTTGGCAGCTCCAACTACCAATCGGTTTGCAGCGCTTAGGCCTACCATGTCGCTGCGACTATTTCCTCGTCACCCTCTGCGCACAATCATGGAATCGGGGACTGACATTAGTTGCAAGGTAAAATTCAATCGGTTGCTCAATAACTACGAGGCAATTTGTTGTTAAGTTGCGTCAACCTGGCAAACAATCTCAGTTAGTTTGTAGACATTTTGTAAGCACCTCCAGGCAGTTGTTAAGTGTTGCATTTTATTGATATGACTTTTGTGGTGTAAGTGTAACAAGATGGTGTAATGTTTTTGATTGTATGTGTTTAGTGACAACTTTGCGTGTAGCGAAAGCCCTAGATTGAGTGTGATGCAGCGCAGGACGGCCCACTCAAACTTGCTCACATGTCGCACCGTATGAAGCGTTCGCGGAATGCTTACGCTAATCATCTGTCTTTTGGAGTTTCATTCTTCGGCTGACGACGGCATGCTGCGAAACGTGGAGTCGCATTGCGTCATCAAAAAAATCGTGAGTGGGTTGTACACAACGCAGAGTAAACTGGGGTGTGTTAGATGTCTCATTTCAAATCCCTCGCAGAAGCTCTACTGCGACCACCTCTGCTACATCTGACTCTGCTATTGCTCTCGATGTCTAAGCCAGTGCTTTCGCGTGGTCTGCGCAAATCTGTAAGCTGATTCTGTCACGCTCCTTTCATTTCGTGACAGTTGCCTTTGTCTGGCATTCGACACGAGTGCTTCGATCACCTTTCATTGTTCGTTGATTGTTCGATTAATGTCGTCGTTTGAATGGGTGGGTGCAAACGTTCACTGACATTGATTGAGATAAAGGATTTTTTGTATATGGCGCAGCAGAACTTGATATGTTGAGTAACACAGTGTGTGGTACTGAGTGTTGTGATGCCACGGAGGCACTAACACATGTTTTCTGTGAGATGGCTTCGCTACAGCTCCGAATCAGCGTGAGCAGATGTGTTCGTTGTTTGTGTGTTTCGTCACGGCTTCATCGACTTGTGTGGACGA